ACTCTCTCTCTCTCTCTCTCTCTCTCTCTCTCTCTCTCTCTCTCTCTCTCTCTCTCTCTCTTGTCAATCTACATAGAGAAATATGTATACCTCCCTATCTCTTCTGTCCATCTACATAAAGGAATGTGTACACCGCCGTGTCTTTTAAAAACAAAATCTGAATCGAGCAATGTATGTGTCGCTTTTCTCTTGAGAATCATAAGAACCAGCATATTTTGTATAGCCTCGGCAGCAAGCTCTATGAGCTTTACACTATACCAGTACCCCAGTAGACCATAGAACACTCACAAACATTCTCAGCTTCCCAGGAAGCATACAGGGCTACCAGATGCTTAAGTGCTCCAACACTAACAAACTGACAAGATCTTTCGCTGTCTATAGCTAGGTACTCATTCCCACCTGCTTTTGCTCTTCACATTTGTATACAACACAGAAAGTCCAAAGGAATCTGTCTGACAGTGATTTTAGATAAATCCACAGAATAGTTTTGTTCTACATAGTGCGTTAAAAAAGCAACCCATTTTCAGGTATGTCCCCATTTTTAGTCGAATGACGCACAAGTTCGCATTGGACCTACATCTAAAAATCCCAACGATTGAGCCATATTTCAAACGATAGTGGTCTAACAGGCCAACAGAAGTGTGCAGATAGTTTTTCTCAAGTTCCCTTTCCTTGCTGAGATCATGGTTAAGATTAGTACAAAGCAGAGAGCATTTTGTATTGACCATTTCCTCACCACCAACGCATTTCGTAAGTATCGAACAGGATACGGAAACAGTGTTAAAGTGCCATAAAGGCCTTCTTTGATGTCAAGGGCGAAAATAGTCCTTCTCTTAGGACCTGTAGAGAATCAGACCTAAACATTCCCAGACAAAACGACCTCTTCAGGTCAAACACACACCGTTCACACCCCTTTAAACGTCACCAGGGTGCAGCATTCAGTAGATGAGCCCCATAAGACGTCTGTCGTAGACGATGTCTGCAGCTAGGACTTTCCTACTTCTCAACGGTCCGCATTCTAAAGGCAGATGTTCATCTACGACTGTACCTTTTGCCCGTTCGCTAAGCTATCAGAGGATAGCAATGTGTTCATGATTCCTCCATCTTTGGCATTTGGTTCCTCGGCAAAGCCCATAATATTCACCTTTCAGGTGATACCATCTCCACAAGTCTTCTTGGCAACCTCACCCCCCCCCCCCAATTGTATCTAGAAACAGCTCCATACTGTAAAGTGTACAGTGTGTGTGGCTTTGAGCACTCATGGTTGAGTGGATCCTTGTGTTTGGCCACCCCTGAACATTACGAACGACGCGTTAAAATGTGTCGAGTCCAAAGGAGGACATATAGACCATTGCTTCTCACAATTTTAGAATTAAAAATTATTTTTTTTTAACTCAGTAGGAGAAAAGACATATTTTGTAAAGGTTACAGGGATGGAAACATTCGATTTTAAAAATGAAAAGAATGGAAAAAACAAACCAATCTTTGTATGACTTTCCTTACAAGATTTTTTTAATTGGTGCATTTTGCATTTATTGGGGATTCTTATAAAGTCATTTCCATTTTCGAAAAAAAGTTTCTTCTTTGTGAATTTTATGTGAAACAAATTCCCTTTATATGAATTATGTCTGTTCCAAATTACAACATTCTAGTACAAATTTTGTGATATATTTAGAAAAAAAGTTGTACAGTTGTTGTTGTTTTGGTTGTTTTTTTTGGGGGGAGGAGTTGGTTGTTGTTGTTGTTGTTTTATGTCCCTGTATTAGGGGAATGTATCTTATATATACCTCCGTCTGTCTCTGTCCATCATAGAGAATGTATACCTCCGTCTGTCTTCTGTCCATCATACAGAATGTATACCTCCGTCTGTCTTCTGTCCATCATACAGAATGTATACATCCGTCTGTCTTCTTTCCATAGAGACACACACTCACACACACACACACACACACACACACACACACACACACACACATACAAACGCACACACACACGCACACACACATACACACACACGCACGTACAGAGAGAGAGAGAGATAGTCTGACAGAGAGAGAGCGAAAAAGAGAGAGAAAAAAGGAAAGAGAGAAAGAGAG